ATATATATATATATATATATGTATTTTCAAAGAATGCCAAAAGAAAGAAGGAAGGCAAAAGGAATAAAGGTCTCAACCTCCCCATTCATCTGCTGTGAGGTACATATGGGAAGACATCTGTGAAGGTACTGTCAGAGGCAGGGTGTGACACCAGTTGTGGCTCACAGGCCTTAGTTAACCCTTTCCTCCCAATTTGAAACAAAAAAATTTTTTTTGCAAGAGCGATTCTGTACTGTCACTCATAACAGATTTATAGCAAGACCATCCAGCAACAATTGGATAATATATTTCCACTCTCCTTTATCAGAAGATGTAGAAGGTAAGATGTAGAAGGGGACAGAGCTCTCACCAGGAGAGTCTAGGGCTTGAGTCTAGAAGGATCTTCATTATGCTAGGGTCTGAGGTCAGCTGCCTGCAGCACTCTCCCTCCCTATCTTACAGCAGACAAGCTAATGTGGACATACACAGACAGTGGTAACCTGGACCCCAAGGAGGACCCAGGAAATGATGACCTTATTGCTAGCAGAGTTTTCCATTGCTATTTCTCTTTCTTGGCTTTTATTGCTTGTAGAGTTAAGAAGGAGATTCACCCCCCAGGGAAAATGACTGTGAGCAATTCACCAGGCTATCAGGGCCAGCTATGTTTCTAGGAAGTGAATACCAACTCAGTAAGAAGGACAGTGAAATAATTATCAGCTAAATCCTGTCTCCACAGATGCCTGTACCATTAGCCATTTCTGTGTTAAGCATTGTCATCAATATGTAGAGACTCTATTTCAATTTTACTTGCTTTATTCAGGACAGAGAGTGTATGTGTACGCATGAGAGAAAGAGAAAAGGGAGAAGCAGCCATGAGAGAGCGTCATCCCGCCATGATCCCCTTTCCACAACCCTCCAGCTCATCAGGATCTTGGGCAGATGTGCTTATGCCCAATGTGCTTTCAGGCCAACCCGTGGATCCAAATCTATGGCAGCCATGTGGCTTCCGCCACCAACATTCAGTTTGCTACTGACAGTGTCATTCAACTGGGCCAAATCTTCTCTTTAAATATAAATTTTCCTTGAAAGGGTAACATTTAGAAGAATTAGCTTTAAAATTTTCATTCAATGATTATTGAATATTTATGCTAGACACTCTTCCAAATCCTTGAGAATATAGGCAAATGAAATAACCACTGACTTTAATAATAAACAGCATAACAATAATAATGGTGATGATGATAGCTAACACTTTCTGCGTGTTTATTGTGTAGCAGAAATTCTTCTAAGCTCTTTGTATGCATTTGCAAACAAACTCTTCCAACAAAACTGAGGTAGATAACATTATCTCTGTTTACCGGATAAAGAAACTGAGGCACAGAGAAGTTAAGTAACTTGTCCAGGGTCTCATAGCAGGTAAGTAGTGGAGTTGGTAAACTTTATCTGACAGATATTTTTCCAGAAGGAAGCAGTAGCCAAGAGTTGCAGGCCTGGGTGCTGTCTCCCTGTGTTGTGAAGAGAGGACAGATGATTCAGGATGAGATACCAGATGATCTTCAGGCCCAGGTTCTACCCTGGTGACGTCGAGAAAAGATAACAGCCACACAGGAATTGGAGAATAGGTGAGAGAGACTCATCAAGCGAATAGGAAATTGCATGGAAACCAGCCAGGATGACTGGTGTATCCACCTAGTAACAGAAGAAGCCAGCCCAGGAAAAAGACCTGGGCTGAGTCAGGACACTGGGGCTGTGAAGAAAGTGATCGTTTTAAGAGTTTATTTCTTTCTTCTGTGAGCAAGAGAGACAGAGAGATAGAGAGACAGACCCCCACAAGGATTTTGACATCATGATCCACTCCCAGCCTTCAGCTAGCCCTGGACCAAACGCCCACTTGGGCTTTTATATTGAGGGAGGTCTCTGGACTTGAACTGTGAGCTCCCTCATGGAGTGCCATGTTCCTCCACTGCACTACCATCAGACCCCAAGAAAGCAAATTTTATTCAAAACTAGCACACTGCTTGGGGCCCAGACATCCCAGAGACAGAGAGGGAGATGAGAGAAATAAATCTTTGTCAGCAATATGGAAGTTGAGCAAGCTAGCAAGGAAAGACAGAATGACCCAAAGGATCTGACTGCAAGAGGAGTCAGCCAAGTTGGGAGTGAGACAGGAATGACCTGAAAACCCTGTGCCACACTTCAAAGTCAAGCTCAGCCAAGTTGAATGAAATTGAGAACGTGTGGCTTTGGGCCTGACTGAGCATCTGCAAACTCATCCTAAATGGCTCAGAGCTGGATTGACTTGCAGTCCAGAGACTCAGCTGAGCATATTGAATTCTGCAGGTCAAGGGGCACTTCTCTGGCCTCCTTCCCTTCTCATGCAAATTCAGGATATTCTACTGAAGAGGGAGAGAGTCCCTTGCAAAGTGCTCCCTGGGACATGGAATTGAGCTCTGAATAATAACTTCATTCACTTTCCAAGTTCTCTGCCAGTTTTCCCTGGCTAAGTGGAAGCTGTGTGCTTGCAGGGAAAGCCAGCCTCCCTCCCTCTGGGATGGATCTTCTAGGAACTGGGAGGCTAGAACAATGGAAGCAGGGAGAGACTGGGAGAATGGGGTGGGAATGGACTCACCTGTCACCAAGTCATATTCAGAACCAGGTCTGTGGCTCTCATTTGGGGGCTGAAAATAGAGGAGAGAAGAGACAAGTTTTAGTCTATTCTAGAAGAAAATGAAGCTTGGATTTTTTTTTTCTCCCTGATTAGCATTTTTATTGCGTCCCTCCTATTTGCTCTGCCTGCTCATAATTAAATACTGCCCATGGTGTCTCGTCTATCTTGGTAATGTTCTCTTGGACACCAATGAATTGGATTTTCTTTATGGACTTGCTCCACTGAGAGAAAATAAGGCTCAAGTTCTGTGGCTTCCCTAGCAGGGTGGGGCAGCTCAGGGGGTGTCTAGCACGGAGGTCAAGAGCCTCCTCACAGTAGTCTCAAGGTATCTGATTTGGGGTCATGGAAGGAAAATGAAGTAAGTGTCAGGTGTTCCTGTCCTCAGAGCAACCTCAGTGAAAGACAGCCCAGAATATAAGGCAGCTGAGTCTCTTCTACTTGGAAAGGCATGAGGCCCAGAGGCTGGCAATGACCCTAGCAGGTAAGAAGAGAGGGATGGAGAGACGGATGAGATTATCTAGGAGGGACACTCTAGACTTTCAGCCAGGACTCCAAACAGAGCCTTAAACTGGCTCTAATCATGATACTCCATATCTACCTAACTTGCCCTTGTCTTCTTCATGCACCCCCACCCCCACCCCACTCCAGTCTCAACCTGTAGACATGGCATGGCTGTGGTCCTTCAGGCCACCCCTCCTGTGTCATCACATTGTCTTGGCCTGCCGTTCCCTTGCCAAGCCTCTATAGTTTCCCTCCTCTCCTTCTCTCTCCCCATGTCCTAAGTAGCATCCATCGTATTGCCAAAGAGCTGCCTTACATTCTCCACTTTTTTGTCTACCTCTTCTCTTTAACCCAAGCCTAGCTATTCCCTCTCATCGTGTCCTACTTAGGTCACAATAAACAGTGGGTGAATTTGTGAACCTTCTCAAGTGCAGGTTTACTAACCTAGACCAACAGTACACATGGTCCCCAGATATGGTCCCCAGACCAGTAGTATCAATTTGCACTTGGGAACCCACTTGAAATGCACATTCCTGGGCTGCACCACAGACCTAGTGAATCAAAAACTCTGGGAGTGGGGCCTGGCAATCTGTTTTACCAAGACCTCCAGTGAGGTCAATGCCAAGAACGTTCCCTCAGCAGCATCTCCTCTGAAGCCCACGCCATCTATGCACTTGCTTTTTCCTACCAGCTAGAGACCCCAGGCCACTCACCCCTCTTCTGGAAAGATACTGACTACCCTGCCACTGGCAAAGGATCTGTGTTTGCCTCCTCTCTGTGCCTTCTCCACAACTTCTGCTCTCACATCCTTTTTTCTTGATTTCTTCCATGATCATGAGAAAGAGAGAGACATTATCCCCAAAAGTGTCTTGTTACCCCAACCCACCCGCAGTCTAAGCCATCCCCTGATTGCAGGCAAGTGTGTGCTCCGTGTACTCAGGGAGGTCTCCAGACTTGAACCTGAAACCTTCCTATATGAGTTGGCCTCTCAAACCATCACATTTTACTGTGGCACCACCATCCGGCTCCTCTGATATGCATATTTCTGACTAGCAGCCCTCTCCCAAGTTCTAAAACTACATTTCTTCTGCCCCTCAGGCATTTGGCTTTAAGCATAGCAGGTACCTCACTCACTGGATCTAAACAGAACTCCCTCAAACTGATGTTTGGGTTTTCTTAGTTCAGCTCATTCCCCATCTCAACTTCTGCCCAGAGACTTGCCCTTTCTTTCAACACTTGGTCCTTCTTCTTGCACACATGCTCCCACAGCCAATCAGTCACCAGAAGCCATAGGTTCTGTTACTTCCTGTTCTTGACTGGGTCTTCATCGTTAGTTCAATAGCCCTAGTCTAGGCGCCCCTTATCTCCCACTTCTGCCCATCCTTCTCATTGCTGCCAGAGTTGTTTTGCTAAAACACAGTTCTTACAGTGATGGTCCCTCATTGCCTACAGGATGGAACTCAAACTGAGCTTTCCTTTGTCTGGCTTTTCCTGCCTCGTTCGTTTCCTGCTACCCTCCTTGCTCACCCTACTCTGCCACCTGACATGCTCATTTTCATATCTCTGTGCATTTGCTCACAGTTTGGCTTTGCATGGAATGGCTTTCTGTCTCAAGAACTTCTTCTCACTCTTAAACATGCAACACAATGCATCCTGCCTTGTGTGTACTCTTCCCAAATAACTCTTTCTTCTTCTCCTAGCTCTGGGCTCCCAGAGTGCATCCCTTTTGCCTTTGTAATGGGACTCATCGTTCCATATTGCTCATTTGTTATCCTTCCTGGATTGTGAACTCAAGAGTCTCTGCATGTCTCAGTCATCATTGTCTTCCTAGCCCATCGCATGATTCTTGGTACATAGTTGAAGCTACACATATTTTTGTGTTGGCTTCATCTAGTTATTACTAAAACTCTAAGACTTGTAAACACCATCACTGATAATCTACTGTAACTTCCTAATCTCCGCTCTCCTATCTTCCAAGCTAAGTGATGGTGGCCAGGGGAAGGACCTCATTCCCCCACACACCCTCAGGACCTTGACTTTCAGCCTTGTCATTCATTGTGTCAAAATTTCTCCTGCATGAGATGGTGGGAGGAACAGCATTACTTTCTCCTGTAGTCTCTCCGAGGGATGGTTCCATTTCATTGCAGCTCAGCCTTGAGAACATCTAGATCCTCTCCACATACTCAGTAGCCCTGGGCTCTAGGATAAATCTTCCTCCAGCAGGGAAAGGAGTAAAGGGTAATTTCCCACAATCCTTAATCTCTCTATGAAGTTCTATCTTTAGCTGGCCAGAATTCTAAGTCTCAGAGCATAGCCACATGGAAATGGGCTGTCTAGGGGCATTTCTGTGGTCTGGGTCCTGAGCAGCCCCTCGAGTGTCTAAAGGTAAGCAACAATGCCTAACACAGCTTAGTATTTGCTGAATGAGTAACAAAATGCTGAGAAGCAGAAGATGCTTCAAAGTGTCCTCCCAGAATTGCCAGTTCCTGCCTTTCTAGCCTGCCTATTTCCAGAGTAAGCAGAAAGGAGTTAAGTCAGCAAAGACAGAGATGAAAAAACTTAGAAAGAGCATTTACCCATGATTTTCTTCTCTGTTTGCCTGTGAGAAGGACCTCTGGATCAGGAAAAGCATGCAGGTTTTCTAGGGCATTAATCCCTCCTCCTTTTTGCCCTCAGCACTGGGCTTGTGCCCTTCCAGGCTGCAGGCAGAAAGCGGTAGACAGACTAGCTTGGAGACAACTTTAAGTGAATTCAATTACCATAGCAACCCCAACCACCAGAATGGAGATTAGGCTCCAGACAGCAGCGATCCAGGCATCTAAGAGAGGCAGCAACCTGAAGGCCATTGCTATGAGACCTGGGGGGGGGGGATGTCTGGGAGAGAAGGGAGTACTCCAGCTTGTCTATCCAGCACCCCCAGTTCACCTGTGCTCTCAGGCTCTGCAGAACTCTACCCTAGCAGGTAGTGGGCATCTCCTACTTGGAGCTAGAGAGCCTGGAAGGAAAGTGGAGATCAGAACAATCAGCAGAGTCTTGCCTCCTGTTATCGTGTGTGTCCTACTAGGGATGGTCAGGGTACTAGTCTGCCTCTACACCTCACTGCAGCATAGGGTTTCCGAGTAGAAGCCCTGGAGTCAGACTGTGGGCTTTCAAATCTCACTTTTGTTCTATGCTCTCAAGCAGATTGCCAAACTTTTCCGTGCTTCCACTTCTCATCTGAAAAATGGAGATGATCATACCTGCCTCATAGGACTGTTGTAAGGAGAAAATAAGAATGCAGCTAAAGCCTCAGCACAGTGTGTGGCACACAGTAAACAGCAACAAAAGTTTGTTGTCACCATGTCATTGCTCTTGTCCTTCGTTTCATGATGACAGTGAAAATTCCAGACGCCAGCTCTTCCTGGTCCTAGTGGCCTGCCCTGCTGACAAGCACTACCTGTCAGGTTGAAGCACCCAGCTTGAGGCAGGCAGGGAAGGTTCCCAGAAGACTGACAAGTTGGGTCATAGCAGCTGATCCTCTCCAGCTCCAGAAACCAGTCAAAGCCCCAGCAAAGTGCACAGGCTACCTGGAAAACAGATCTGGCCTTGCCTACTCATTTCCATCCAAAGCTGTTAAACAATTCCATGATCACTTCAGTCCAACAGAGCTGCTATATTCCCTCATCTGTAAAGTGGGGATAAAAATAAAGGTCAATTCAGAGAAATAGATCTGATAACCTAGAACTGAGGGTGAGGGTAGGCACCACCTTTACAGCCCTCCTCTTGTATGTGCGGGCTTTATCTCCCATGTGACATGCAAGCAGCCAGAGGCAAAGATGACCCTTTTTAGTAAAGTGAAGGACTCGGGACACCAGCTGGGAAGGATATTGTGCTCTGCTTGGAGGGGATGTGTTCATTGTTTCTCACTTGCTTTTGAGCTGGACCTAGTGCCAGCCACTGGGATTGCCAAGTCAAGAAAGACTTCAGGGGTTCAGCTATGCTGTGAAGAAAGACCTCAGAGGAACACAACATGAGGTGGTTTGTCAGGAGGAAAGTGTGTGTGTGTGTGGGGGGGGACACTTGGGGTAGAAGAACCAACCCCTCAGAGGCAGCAGAGCCAAGTATCAGAGAGGCTTGGCATCTAGAGCACTTGAGAGGAGAAACACAATTTCGCCCAGTGTAGAACTCAGAGGGAGGACTCCGCAGGCAGAGAGAACAGCAGGTGCAAAGAGGAAGCGCGAAAGGCCTGGTGCATCTGGGGGAGGGTGAGAAGTTGGGGGTGATGAAGCACATGCATATGCGCATGTGCTTGTGCATGTGTGTGCATGGCCCGTGCATAGGCTCGTGCATGCTGGAACACAATAAGGAGCTGGAAAGAGGAATGGCTGGGAAGAGGATGAGACCCAAAAGTTAATCTCTTATCTCTCAAGTGATCGATCAATAGGCAGTTCTATAAACCTCTAGATATTGTGGCCTGCTAGGCTGAGATTTGTTCAGCCTTATTTTCAAAATTCATTTCCCTATAGCCAA